TTTTTTTTTTTTTTTTTTTTTTTGAGTTGGGGTCTCTTTCTGTTGCCCAGGCTGGAGTGCAGTGGCATGATCACAGCTCACCACTGTCTTGACCTCCTGGACTCAGGTGCTCCTCCTACCTTGGCCTCCTAAAGTGCTGGGGTTACAGGTGTGAGCTACTGCACCTGGCTTTGTTGTTAAAATTCTGATTCATCTTAAAAATAACTGTGGGCTTTACCTCTACTCCTAAATACACCTCCTCTGGGCCTAGTGAACTACAAAGTGACTGCTCCGGGACAGGGAGCCAAGGTTACCTGCAGTTCCAGGGTGCCTGGCCCATGGTGACTATGCCCGGGGAGGCCATGCGCAGTAGGAGTGAGGCTAGGGAATAGGCTGGTCTCTCGGGATCACACAATAGGCACCCGATCAATCAGAATGCCCCTTTTCTTTACTTAGCAAGGAGGTAGACAGGAGGCAGGATTTCCAAGTCCTAATACAGAGAGGCCTGGGAAAAGACCGCTCCTAGCCCCCTTTAACTTCAAGCATGAGGCTCCTTGAGGCTGGCAGCCCCACGGGCCCTGGACCCTGTAAGGACGGGAGAGGGGAGAGCAGCCCTGGCCTGTAGATATAGCAGTTAAGCAACATCCCTGGGCCTCTGCCCAAAGCCTGCAGAGATGCCCTGTCTCCTGCTTGACTGTGGTCCTGACCCCACTGACTCAGGTGTTCCCCGTCAAGGCACATACCCTGGCCCTGTCCTCAAATCCTGCCACGTGCTGCCTCCCTGGGCACTCCTGCTGGGCCTGCCATGCGGGTAGGGGGATCTCAGGCCTGGCCAAGGCCACACCAGCCAAGTCTCTCTTGGGTTCCCAGCTTCATCTATCAGGTTTTTTGGGTCCCAAATCTCAAGGCATCTTCCTCCACTGCTCCCTTCCCTCCACCCCCACATCTAGCCACGCGCAGGGGCCGGCAGTTGTCACCTTGACCCTCTCCACCTGCCTTGGCATTGCCTCTTGGACGCCTGCCACAGCCTGGCCAGGCTCCTGCTTCCACAGCTGCCCCACTTCAGTTCATCTCTGAACAGTGGCCACCATGATCCTCGAAATACTGACAACCTCCCAACGTTTCCTGTCACATTAGAAAAGTGATGCGTAGGCCTCACCTGCTACTTCCTCTGGGCCACTGCGAGCTTTTCTGCCCTCTCATGTCAGAGCCAGGCAGGGGGGACAGGGAAAGGCGAGAAGGTGAAGGAGGAGGCGTGTGGTCTCAGACTCACCTGGTCAAAGAGTTGGTGCTGAGCCAGGTACCCGACGTCCCGTGGCTGATCCACAGGAGAAAACCGAAGTGAAAGACAAAGCCCAGTTAGTTGTGACAGACGCCCTCCTGATGCTGCTGTCAGCAGGCTCCTAGCACCGCCCCTTCGTTCCATCCTGCATGGGATCCTCTGATCCATACAGAGGCCCTTGGGTATCTTCACAGACCCCCTTGAGCACTGGGGTGCCCAGCTGGTAAAGCGCTGGCCCTCTCACCCAGCTGACTGGCAAACAACTTCACACAGTGGTGAAATTGTACAGGCAGAGATGTATGCAAACAGGTGCTCACATTAACATTAACTAAGAGTGGGAGCAATTTAACTTCTGGGAAAATTATCTGACAAGGAGTGATTACAATTTAAGATACACGTGCTCTTGACTCAGTTGTCCTTCTTTTGAACTATATTCACCACTGAACTGTACCCAAAAAAGGGACCTGGAAAGAATTCCTTGTCTGGCCTGTCCAGCTGCTGGCTGAGCCACCCGCCATCCTCGCCCTGGCCGTCCTACTGGCCACCGACTCCTCTGAAACCTCCCACCGCAGCACATGGAGGCCACACCCACAGGTACTCGTGAGGACAGAGGAAACCAAAGGAGTCCCAGGGCCATACCTCGTTCACGATGTAGGTGCTGATGAATTCGCTGACGGTCATGAGAGTCTGGGACCATTCCTCATCTGTGTACCTGGATCCAACTTCCACGGGGACAGTTCGGCAGCCAGCAACCTCCTGAATATACTCCAGGCTAGTGGAGACATGTGCATCGTCACCAGTGTCACCAGCATGGGCTGGGTGTGGTGCCATGTGTGCTTCACATGTAGTTTCCTTGCATGCTCAAACAATTCAGGAGGCAGAGATGCCCATCACCCCGCCCCACTGATGAGGACACATGGCACCCAGGGGTGACTGCCCAAGGCCTACGCCAACACACCACGCCGTGCAGCTCTGTGGATGGAGCCAGCACATCTGGTTTTCTGGGCTGTTCCACTCTCGCTTGCTGACAGCCCCTGACGGCTCTCTCATCTTGGCACTATGCTGAGAAACCTCTGAGCAAATGGTGGGTGGGGCAGGGGTGGCGAGAACTCCACTGGGCTCTGAACTCTGGTACCTGGGACTGACTCCGGGCTTTGTCAGTTATAGACCAGGGACCTTTAGTGTGTTACCCGCTCTCATCCCTGTTCCCCGCTTGCAAAATGGGGGCGATGACAGTGCCCGCTCAAAACCCACGATGGAGGCTGGCTGTGCCGATGGCTCCTGCAGTCAGAATTCCTCCACAGGTCCCAGGGAGCCGCTCCCTCCACACAACCACACCGGGCTGACGCCATCTGTCCCCTGTGAGCTGTGGCTCCCTATTTCCAAAATCATGCACTATGTGGCATCATGGTCTCTCCAGTTGCCTGTCTGATCTCCCTGTCACGAATCTGAGGAGGGACCAGAAACAGACACCACAGACCAGGGGACCCCACGGGGAGGAAGGGGTTGTCTCAGGTTACTCCTACACTGAGCCCCAGGCCCTGGGAAGGTCCATGGGATTCCTAAGATCCTGCAGAACTGATGATAGACATATCCAAGACTGCCACTCAGGAACTCATAAGGAAACAGCTTGGGCCAGCCAGCAGCAGAAGGTAAGACTCTTATACCCTCCTGCAGAAGTTCAGGGTCCCTTCCTTCTAAGTCCTGGTCAACCCCTGGGCAGTCATTCTCAGGGGCTGCTGGTGAGGTGTCTGTGGAGTGTATCTACCTGCAGAGCGTAGGATCAGGGACTCCCAGGGGACACTAGCATGGGAAGGGGGACCTCTTTGCCCTCCAGTGACTACCCACCTCCACTTCTTCATGCATGGCCAGTGGTCAGCCACGCCTTCCAGGATCACAGGCCTCCCGGGAACCAAAAAATGCTTCCTGAAGTACTGGAGGGATGGACGGTGAAGCCGGGGGACTGTGCTTTCCAATGTCACATCTGGAACTGATCCACGGGCATTCCGTGCTTTCTGTTTAAACACAAAAGCAAATGGCAACCACCTCAGAAAGTCAAGACCTGAGACAGCCACCAAGAATTTGAATCCATGGCAGAATAGCTCAGGTGCCATTAGTAACAACAACAGATATCATGTATTATTATTAGGGCTACTACTATGTGCTTTTCGTGAGATCAAAGTGTTTTTTCATACCACTTCATTAACAATGTTGGATCAATTTATAAGAGTAATCCATTGGTTTCCCAGAAAGTCTGCAGGAAAGGACATGTCCTAGACCACCTCTATCCTAACCACACAGGGCTTCTCACCCTGCACACGCCTTTCCCTTCTTTTTTTTCTTTGAGGTAGGGGCCTCACTCTGTTACCCAGGCTGTAGTGCAGGGGCAGGCTCACGGCTCACCACGGGCTCCACCTCCTGGGCTCAGGTGATCCTTCCACCTTAGTCTCCTGAGTAGCTGGGACTGCAGGCACGCGCTACCACACCCAGCTAATTTGGGTTTTTTTTTTTTTTTTTTTTGTAGAGACGAAGTCTTTCTCTGCTGCTCAGGCTGGTCACGAACTCCTGGGCTGAAGTGGTCCTCCCGCCTCGGCCTCCCACGTGCTGGGATGCAGGCGGGAGCCACCGCACCCTGCCTCCTTTCCCATCTCTCACACCTGCATCTCTGATCCTCAGGGAGCGGCAGCCGCCTCGTCCCTCCACCACTCAGCTAAGGCAGTCTCCACGCAGCCCTCAGTCCTTGCAATTGCTCATGAGTGGGTGCGTCATCATCTGCTTCACCGCCTCCAGCAGGTGACCTGAGCAAGTGACCTACTGTCCCTCAGTAAGTGGCAGTTTCCTCCTCTGTGAAACTGTGGCGAGAGAAGATCATACGTGTAGAGTGTGCAGGACCACGGACCAGCACGGGTCAGCTCCCCTCCCTCTTCATACTGTCACGATCCTCGAGGACAGGCTCTGAGGTCCACACAGCCCCTGCCCAAGCTGTCCTGCCTGAAGCTGCCTCCCCCAGCTGTTACCGCCTGACAGGAAATTCCTCCACAGCCTCACTGGAATGGAAGCTCCAGGAAGGCAGGGGCAGGGCCACCATCAGTGCCCAATCAGGGTGTTGAGCAAACCCTTGAGCGAACCCCCTCACACAGGCAAGGAAGCCGAGGAGGCACTGAGAGACCACCACACTACTCGAGTCGCAGGTGGGGTGGTAGCGGGGGAATCTGAGCCCAGGCAGGCCGACTCGAGCCCACACCCATGGCCCCTTTGCTATGTACACTGCCCACGCCAAGAGAACCACCGTGGGCATGAAGCCACCTCCAGAGTTCCTTGGGACAGACCTCGTGGGGGAAGAGGGTGTCACCCTTGGGTCAAAATGGACAGATCTTTGTCCCTCAATCTGCATGTCTGCCCTGCCCTTTGAAAGGTCAACCCACACAGCAGGCCTTCAGCCCACGGTACCCCTGGCAACAAGGTAACATGTAACACCACGTTTGCTCATTTAATAGTCAGAAATTGCTGCCTCGCTGCTTCTGCTATTTGCAGTCTTGTATTTTTAACTTTAATTAATTAACTAATTAATTAATTTTTGTTTGTGTTTTGTTTTTTTGAGTTGGAGTCTCACTCTGTCGCCCAGACTGGAGTGCAGTGGCCTCTCCCGGCCACTGCAGCCTTGACCTGCTGGGCTCCAGCGATCCTTCCGCCTCAGCCTTCCAAGTAGCCGGGATTACAGGTGCGTGCTACCATGTCCAGCTAATTTTTTGATTTATTGTAGAGATAGGTCTCGCCAAGTTGCCCAGGTGGGTCATGAACTCATGGGCTCAGGCAATCTAATCACCTCGGCCTCCCAAAGTGCGGGATTACAGGCTGAGCCACCAAGCCCGACCTGTTCTTGTTCTTTTACCTCTTGGGGCTCAAGCTTTTTTCCCTATTGATTTGTAGAATTCCTTCTATAATATAGTTGCTCTTTGACAGATTTGCTAAAGTTTCCCTTCCCTTTTTAAAGGTTCTGCTTTTATTCTGGTTACGTGTATGTGTGTTTAATGATTTCTATTTGCATTTTTCTCATATAAAAATAATAACCATTGTAGAAAATTCTGAAGACAGAGGAAAGCATTTAGAAAAATGTCAAAAACACCCCATAATTCCAGCACCCAGTATTTAGTGCAGATTTTGTCATTTCTGGCGGGGGTCAGTACTCTGCCATTTTACAGGTGAGGGAACTGAGGCCCAAAGGAGGTGAGTGGCTGGCCCTGGGGTGTCGCAAGAGGTCTGTGTGTCTGCACAGATCTGGAGCCTTCTGAGTAAACCATGCCCGGGGTGCTCTGTCACATGCATGAACCTAAGGGTGGGACAAATGGGTTCTGGAAACAGAGGTCAGCTAATTGTCGTATCTCATCTAAACTCAGCAGCACAGAGGCAGAACAGCCAGGAAGCTAGCCAGGAAGCTAGCCTGCCAGAGTGATACTTCAACAAGTTGACCAAGAGACAGGCTATAGTTGGCTGCAGCTCTCATTCACATAATCCCTTAAACTGTTTCTTTTCAGTTCACAAAACATGCCCCTCCGGCTTTCCCAAAAGGGCACTGCCTTTGCAGAAACTGGATTTTTTCTAAATGAACAGAGCTGCTCCATTTTCCAAATCAATGGCAATACTATTTTCCACCAGTGGGGCTGCATGTCACCAGGCCTCACCAAAGAGGAGAGCTGCCTCGATGTTTCTAGAACGGGACTGCTGGAGTGCTGGTGTGCTCAATGGCAATCTCACCCAGATACCTTTGCGCAGGGCTGCTCCGGGCTTGAGCTATGGGCAGGCCTCTTTCCAGCAGGAAGATGTGTCTGGAGGACAGCAGCGACTTTAAGGAGGATGTCCCCAAGGATGGCCGCCCCCATCAGCAGGCCCATGTCACAGACCCTCAGGGCTGCGGCCACGGCGGGGGCCTCCCCAGGTGCCTGGCACAGACACAGGGCTTTCAGTAGGCAGCCGAAGGCGAAGACCCGGCGCCAGTCTTTGTGCACGTCCTGCCACGCGCCGGTGTTGAGTCTCTCCCAGGAGTAGTCCAGGATCACCTCGCTTGTCTGCAGACATGCGGCCCTCCGGCCAGTGTAGAAAAACTCGGCGGCTTCCTGCAGCAACACCACCATACTCCTCTCCACCTCCTGGCTGAGGTCCAGCTTCAGCTCTTCTCTTGTGCGCGGCAGGAGCGCCCTGAGGGCCTCCCAGAGAGCACCTGCTCCCACCAGGGGGGGTCTCAGGCAGTGGGCGCCTTCAGCCATCGGGCCCACTGCTGGCTCGGTCGGCCTGTGCCTGGGGGAAGACACAAAAGTTGATCCCCCATGCACTCCCGGCTTCCCCATCTCGCAGTAACCACGTCTTCACAGCGGTCTTTTCTGCAAGGCAGAATGTCCACAAGAGCAGCACCCCCATCTGTCTGGAGTCACGGCTGCATCCCCAGGGCCTACAAGGCATCTGGCAGTCAGCAAGCACTGGAGAAATGTTTGCTTCGAAAGGATCACGTATTGTCCTTGCCCAATGCCTCCAACACTCCTCCTCTGCTTGGCAGACTCATACCCAACCTGTAAGGCCCACTTTAAACGACTCCTGTGTGAAGCCTGCCAAGACTCTCCAACTGTGTTCTGTGTTCCCACAGCCCTTGAGCTTCTCTTCTGGCACCTGTCCCTAAGAATTAAAAACGTGCTCACACGTGTGTATCTCCGGTTCCAGACGGCGAGCTCCTCCAGAGCACCATGTGTCATGTCTCGAGGCTTCCCTAGAGCCTAGAAGCAGAGCCTGCTGAGAGGTACTCTGTCAAGGTGTTGAAGGAACATTCCCTGCTCAGGAAAAAATCTGGAAGTACACAGAAGCTATGCAGAAAGGGGGATGTCACTGCTGGTGCCTTGGCCGGCACTGGCCAGGGCATCACACGTGGATGGAGTCAGTCCTCAGGAGGAACACTAACATGTGAACAACCTCTGTGCTCACAATGAGATGATCTACTTATGCCCCAGGTCCTGGGTATTATCCTCACAGCTGTTACACTGCCCATCTCATTTGATGCTGACAAACAAGGACCACCATGCTCTGCAGAGAATACGTTATGCTAGTGGTCAGCAACCTTTTCTGCAATGAGCCAGATATTAACTATTTTAGGCTCTGCAGGCCGTAGAGTCACTGCTGCTACTATGAGGGGAGACCCCCCAAAAACAGGAATTATCTTTTGGAGGGTGAGCCCCTTGTAGTACAGACTTTCCCGGCTAGGTAAGTGCTCTAGGAACCCATCGGCATCAGTACACCAGCTAGTGTTGTTGTGAGAGGCTACACTGTGGAAGAAAATGTCCTGAGTTGTGGCAAAAGGGTGGCTGGGTGCTTCTCCTACGACAATGCACCTGCTTGCACCTGCCCACGCCGCACAAGTGTCCAGCAGTTTCTGACCCAAAACGGCATGACCCCTGTGCCCTGCCCTCCCTCTTCGCCCGCTCTCTCCCTGTGCAACTTTTCTGTTTCCCTGGATGGAAAAAGTCCTCCAAGGGAAACGTTTTGTCCATGTGAAAGAGGTGAAACGGAAAGTGGCAGAAACACGAAAAGGCATCAAGACTGATGAATTCAAAAACTGATCTGAGCCATGGAAATAGTGTCCCAACAGGTGTACAGCATCCAATGGAGAGTACTTTCAAGGTGGCTGAAGTTTAAACATGTCAGAATAAATGCACAGTTTTTTATAAATACATTCCAGGGTTTTTTGGGTCCCCCTCATACTCTGCCCTTGTAGTGTGAAAACAACCATGCACTGTATGTAACCAAATGGACACGGGTGTGTGCCAATAAAACTTTATTTACAAAAACAGATGATGGCCCAGATGGAGTCTGTCACCTCTTGCTCTGTGTTCAGCAAACTCTGTCTTCTTCCTGGGCATATAGACTACATTCCCCAGTCTCAGTTGCAAGTGGATGTAACTAGGCCAAGTTCTAGCTGTTGTGAATGGAAGTCATTTATGCCACTTCTGGTGAGGCCCATAAACACTTCCGCCGGGATTCTCCACACTTTCCCTACCCATTGGCTGGAAGTGAGGGACTTGAGGCTCTGGGGGATGACAAAGTGCAAGATGGAAGGTGCTGCTTGAAGAAGAGTTGCCCAGAAAGGCCACCCAACCATGACAGCCATGCTGGTATATTTCATGAAC